TATGTTCATCCAGCTGTACACCTTGTTATCTCAGATTCTCCAGCATCTGCAGTTCCTGCTATTCCTAGAAAAACTTGGGTTGTTTTCTGTAGAGCGGTGGAGGCTGAGGGGAGACTTGATAGAAGTCTGTAAAATTATGAGATGCATAGATAGGGTTGACAGTCAAAATCTTTTTCCCAGAGTTGAAATGTCTGATACTAGAGGGCATACATTTAATGTGAGAGGGGGAAGTTCAAAGGTGACATGAGGGACAAGGTTTTTTTTTTTTTACACAGAGACTGGAAGGAGTCTGGGTCGCACTGCCAGGGATGGTGGTGGAGGCAGATACGATAGGGGCATTTAAAGGACTTTTAGATAAGCACATGAATATGCAAGGAATGGAGGGATATGGACCAAGAGCAGGCAGAAGGGATTAGTTTCATTTGGTGTCATGTTCAGCACAACACTGTGGCCCAAAGGGCCTGTTCCTGTGCTGTACTGATTTTTGTAATACATTCTAAAATGTCCTTGGCAAGTAGGATTAAGGAGAATCCCAAGGTATTTTGTATGTATATTAGGAGCAAGATGGGAACTACAACAAGGAGAAAGGAGGCCCAATCTACTCAATATCAGACTGTCCCTCCATACATGGCATCAAACTCATGAACCTTCTCTCAACCCTTCTCTTCAATATAGTACATCCTTACTCAGATAAAGGGATCCAAAAATGTTAATAGTATTCCTCGTATTGTGTCACTCATCCATCTGTGGACTTGTAAACCAAGGTCCCTTTGTCCCCCAGTACTCACTAGGAATCTGCAATTCATTATTAGACCTCCCAAAATGCATCATCCCGTAGTTATCAGGGTTAAATGCTTTCACTGCTCTGCCCAATTCACCAGCTGATCAATATCAAACTGTAGCCTGAGACCATCCTCCTCACTATCAACACCAATTGTTGTGTCTTCTTTCATGTCAATGTGTACAGTATCTATTAAAAATAAATAAATTACTGCATCACATCTTACTGTAATAGCAACTGGGGGAAACAGGCAGAAAAACAACATATAGCTTAGCCAAAAAGCACAAAACTAAGTTCCTTGCAATTTGATTGACATTTTATGAGAATATTAAACTTATAGCTCAAACACCACAATGCAAGCACAATCAG